TTTTTTTTTTTAAACTATACTAATATTAGCCCAGGCCAAAAATATATATATATATATATATATATATATATATATATATATATATTAATAGTATTAACCCACCTCAGCCTCCCACCCAAGCATGAAACGTGTTAAAACAGCGATGCGTAGTCGGATTGGAGATGAATTTTTTGCTGACTGCATAACCATCAACCTTAAACGAGAGCTTGTTTGGAAAATTGATTTGGAATTTATTATTGACGAATTTGAGTATTTAAAGACTCGTCGACGGAAACGGAGCAGAGATGAACTGGAGGCTCTCAAGAGGGAGAGAGCCAGCTCTAGAAAGTCAAGAGCCGGCTCCCCTTCAGCAAGAGCCGGCTCCTAGGGAATTGGAGCCGGCTCCAATAGGGGAAGAGCCGGTTCTTCCATTCCAAGAGCCGAGATATTTTGTAATCTTTGAATTCAAATATATATCTTTATTATGTTATAATTTTTTTTTTTTTTTTTTTTTTTTTTTTTTTTTGCTTAAGAAATTTTGTTATTAAATTTATGTTTAATATTAACCTATCCCAACAAGAAATCCTAGATCTGCCCTTGATTAAAATGAACAACATTTCGAAGTTGTGGGAGAGGGGAAAAGAAGACCAAAAGGGTACTTTTAGAAATATATATTTTGAACCAATTTGGAAACAAATTCGAAAATAGGACTTCTTGGTCCAAAAATATATACATATACAAACAAAAATTAAAGAGAGAAAAAAATATAATTATAGTATTTATAGAGAGAAATAATAAAATTGTGGTATTATATAATATTAAGGGAGAAATGAATGAGGGGCAATTTGGAAAGTCAAAAAGGATACTGTTAGTATTAAAAAGCCTTTTTGATATGACCCGTATATGTCACTTTTTGAAATCAGTTTGTTTTCTCATTTTTCATATTATAAAGATGAAATTTAAACTGGTATTATTTGCACACGTTTTTTTTTTTTTGCACTCCACCACACACATTCATATATATATATATATATATATATATATACACACACACACCTCCTCCTAAACATCAAGAGGAGGATTTCCTCTACATTGATTTTATTATATAGGTCTGGGGCAAAGTAGCAAACATTAAGCTTATATTATTATAATTAATATATGAAAGCTGCCACCAGTGAACAAAGCCAATGGAACAATAAAAATTTAGTGCAATGCCATTGATTGCTGTCCAATGAAACAATTGAACCCAATAAGATTTGAACTTCAAAGAGAAATAAATATAACATGGACTATCACAACTATAAAGTTTTTATTTATAGTCGGATTAGGTGCCCCACAAAGGCATTCAATTTTTAAACAATGCTCTGCAAAATGGATATACAACTTGTACTCAAGAGTTCGCACATTGACCATTCTAAAAAAATATACTGACAAGGCTTCTTTGAGCCCTCCCTCTGATATTTCTTTGGAGTCTCCTTTAGGATATCATATCATGCTCATCCGAAAAGATTTCATTGCTGCATTTGGTGTTTTAGAATGGAATACAAATAAAAATGGAATGAGAATAGGAATAGAATGTAATGGCCATTCTAATTCTATTGTTTGTTTGCAAATAAGAAATTTATAGGAGTGGACTATTGTAAAATTTAGAAAAGAATGAATTTCAAATTTTATTCTCCAAAATATCCCTGTTAGTGACAAATAATTTTAATAGACAAAATAACATTCTTTTATAATTTTTTTTAAAAGAATTGGTGGCGATGGTTAATCTGGTGAAGGTGAAAAGCGGTAGTGGTGTAGGTGATAGTATTGGAAGGCGATAGTGGCGAAAAGCAGTAGGGTGTTGGAAGAAGGCGGTGGTGGTAATGGTGGAAGGCATCAATGGTGTAGGTGATGATGGTGGAAGGCAGTGGTGTGGTGGTGGTGGAAGACGACAATGTATAGGTGGTGGTGGAAGATGACAGTGGTGTAACGATGGTGGATGTGGCGGTAGAGGTGGAGGTGGCGGTGGTGGTGGAAGATGACAGTGGTGTAACGATGGTAGATGTGGCGGTAGAGGTGGAGGTGGCGGTGGTGATGGAAGTCGGTGTCGGTGACGGTGGAGATGGCGACGACGGTGGTGGAAGGTAGTGGTGGTGGTGATGGAAGTCAATGATGGTGGAGGTTAAGGTGGCGTTAGTGATAGAGGTGGAGGTGGAGGTGGAGATGGAGGTGGAGATGGAGGTGACGGAAGTTGGTGGCTGTGGTGGTGGCGGTAATGGTGGAGGTAGCAGTGGCGGTGATGGAAGTCGATGGTGGAAGTGGCAGTAGTGTGGTGGAGATGGAGGTGGAAGGCAACTACGGTGGTGGCAGTGGCAATGACGGTGGTGGAAGTGGTGGAAGACGTCAATGGTAGTAGAAGGTAACAGTGATGGTGAAGGCGACAATTGTGGTGGTGGTAATGGTGATGGTGGTGGTGGCAATGACGGTGGTGGAAGGCAGTGGATATGGTGGTGGTCAATGGTTGTAGTAGTGGAAGGTGGTGGCAGTGGTGGAAGTCAATGGTGGTGGTGGCCACAATGGAAGTGGAGGTGGCGGTGGTGATAAGTGCTGAATGTTGCATATTTAAGCCCTTAAACGTGTATGTGTTAATACTTTAGTGATGCCTTTATCTCAGTTCTTATGTTTATTTTTCTTTATTTATTATTGTAGGTCTTTACCCAAATAAACGGGCAATTCCATGTATTTAGAGCTTATAACGATGTTCCCAGTGCTTAAGGAGATGTTCGGGGCCTTTTGGGTCAATTCGGGACTCAACCAGGGAAGATTTGATGAAATTTGAGGTTCAGGGCTCGAGCACTACCTAGTGCTCAAGCATAACTTCCTAGTACTCGAGCACTAGTTGAAGAAAAGTTTTTTTAAAAAAAACTAAGTGTTGAGCAAAAAGACGCTTCGAAAAATATTTGCAAAATTTTGACCAAGTGTTGATCATTGCTCGAGGTCCATGCCTTAGCGCTCGAGCACTAGACCCCAGAGCTCAAGCACTAGTCCTAAAGCTCAAGCCCTGATGTTAGTGCTTTAGCCTTAAGATCCTGAAAGTGCCTCAAAGCTGCGAGAAAGCTACAAAATCACTATTCTTTGTTTCATTATGGGCCCAATTGTCTAAAGCCCATCCAAAGGGGATTAAGACTTGTTCCTCACTATAAAAGAAGATGAGAAGATGCATTGAAGGGGTTCTCTAAGTTGTTGTTCTTATTCTACCTTGTGGTGGTTTTTAGGGTTTTGAAGATTCCAATTAGCGGTTCATGTAGATGGATTCTACACCAACAATGATGACATACTTCCTCTCCATGAGTAGCTAAAACATTCCTTAGGGAATTGATGTAACCTTAGTCCGAGTAGCATGGTTTGATTGTTCTTCACTTTAGGGATTTTTATATGTATATTGATTGCATGATTTTGAGCAATTGACTTAGTTGTACAAAACAATTGGAATTTTAATGAATAAAATCAGTTTTAATAAAATTAATCTATTGTCTTAGAATTAATCTTATTTTAAATGAATTCAAACCCTTATATTATGAGAGATTGACGGCTAAGTGATTTTCTTAATGGTATAAGTGGTTATCATACAATGGTGCTTAAACGACTATATTAATGAATGTTTTGATAATTCATGCTTAGGGAAGACGAGTTGTACTGTATGAGAATTTAGAGTAATTAGGTAAAACATTCGTGCCAACCGAAGATGAGTTATGGCTTATTGTTTTTTATATACATCTTCTTAATTGAATTGAAGTGTGCTTGTAGCCACTTGATTCCCGAATATGCATAAGCGTGAATTTCCTCATAGTTGAAGCAATTGACCATGTTATAAGGCCAACGGTGAAATTAAACCCTAAGTTCTTCTCACTTTGATCTCATCATTTGTTAATTTAGTTTATTTTCAGTTTTATTGCATTTTAGAAATAGTAAACATCAAAAAAAATTCTCTTGAATTAAATAAGGATTAATTTTATACTTGATAATACCAATACGGTCCTTAAGGTTCGACACCCTCAATATAGTCTTATCGTACAAGGATTCGTTCTATTACAAATGATTTTTATTATTGATAATAAACACATCAGGTGGCTTAAGGCAATGGAGGTGGCAGCGGTGTGTTGATTAAAGGTGGCAACAATGATGACAGCGATAGTGACGATGGTGGAAGGCTAATGGTGAAAGTCAGTGGTGGTTGTGATGGAAAGTGGTGGTGGTGGTTTTTAAACTTTGAGTACGAGGATTTTTTAGGAACTTGATTTTTATAAAACATATATATATATATATTTGGAAATGAAATGGCCATTCCATAAGAGTTAGTTTGGTAGGTGGAAATGAAATGAAATGAAATAAAGTGAAATAGAATGCTTTTAATTCTATTCTTTTGTTTGGAAAGTAATTTTAAAAATGAAATGTCCATTCTCCACCTTTCTCAGAGAATGGTCATTCCATTAAAACCATCCATTTTCCAACAAGAGGAATGGACATTCCATTCCCACTTAAAAAAATTACGGAGTAAAAATAATATTAAAAATCACTTTGCTTGAACAATGTGATTGCTAACACATTTTTCTCAAACAACGAGATACAATAAAAGGCAACTTTTTCTTGATATTCCATCCTCAATTTCCAAATATACATCTAAAATATATATATATATATATATATATATATATATATAGTTTACATATATATAAATTAGTTTTTCTTTTTAAGCCATGCATAACCAAACGAGATAATGGGAATGATCATTCCATTCTCATTCTATTCTCTGGTTCATTCCATTCCTACATACCAAACTAGCCCAGTGGAAGGAATTTTCATTCCAATGGAATGGTTATTCCCACTTTAAATTGCATACCAAACAAATGAATGGCTGAAATGGACATTCCATTCCATTCCTTCCTCCGCACCAAACGTAGCATACAATCTCAGGGAGCACTCATAAGTATAAAACTTGCATGGTGAGCAACGGAAACGATAAAAGAGCTGTAGTCTACTTGTTTTGCAAAAGAAAACATCCTTCAAGAACACAATAAAAGCAACATGTTTCAGATAAAAGTTTTGCAAATAGTCCCTAGCATAAGTCTATCTAGTAAAATACAACCATTATGATAAAAGTTGAGACTTTCATCGCCATCAGTACATACAGGTACAGAACAATCAGCATACAAGTTAACTAGTGCTCCAACAGCTACTTATATCCAGCAGTCAACTAACATTAGAATCCAAAACGAAGCACATGAAAATAAGCCACTTACCATGGGGCGGCAGCTAGTCCTTCAAAATCAAGCTTCACGCTCTTAATGTCTTCAGTAATGTCTTCCACCCTTGATTGCAAAGAGGCAATCTCAGAATCCTTAAAATCCTTCAATGGCACAACCAACGCACGTTTTTCTTGTAACTCCCTAATCTGCTTATCAATTTCATCGATCTCTTCATCAATTTTGCTTTTCTGATGACTATGCTCCATAATCCGAGTTTTGAGTTCTGTTGTCTGCTCTTGAAGTTGTTCCTGCTTATCTTTTAACAATAGCAACCCAGTTAAACGATCTCTTACCATCTTCACATCAAATCCATGACTTTCCAAGTCAAGAAGAGTGTCCAGACTATCCTCAATGACGCTTCTAGGATCATCAAAATGCAAATCAAAGGTTTTCTTTACCACACTGGAAAAGGTTACCATACTACCTATAGCTAAACCTTCACGAGAACTCTCTTTACAACTATCCAGAGGACGGAAATGTGGCTTTTGCGGCATCGCTCGGAACACTTCCATAGTTTCAATTGTTTCCCAAAGTGGAAAGGTCTTCACAAAAGGCAAGCTTCGACTTTCATCTGGCACATTGTCACCATTGGCATCAACTGCAGGAGACTGGATTGCAATTTCTCTGTCTCTCTTGATTGCCTCAGTATGTTGGACAGTCCTAGCAGTGGAAACTCCTAAACAGAAAACAAATATTATCATGAAAGTTAAAATATAAGGAATACAATAAACAAGTCAGACTAGCTTACTTGAACCATCAACTGCTGGAGAGTGCATTCCTTCAAACCACATAGATAGAGGTTGATCATCGGACATGCTGCTGGGTAATTTATCTATGGCCATTTCAACTCCCTCCGTTATAAAATCTGTTCCAAAATCTTCAGTTGTTTTTTCCCCTCTGGAATCGTCTTGAGAATCTAAAAAAAAATGAAAATGAAAAAACACAAACCTATAAATTGGAGAGAGAGAAAAAATGCTGGATTCATTCACTTTAATCTAAAGAATATTAGGGAGGCAAGGTTCTGTTCATCTCCAACATAAGAAGAAGATGCTTCATCGCAGTTGCAATTAAAGCTGGCACTACTTTTGCAGAAAGATAATATCATAAAAGCAAAAACTTTTGATTGCCACCAAAAAAAAGAAAGAGATGACAAATTGGGACCTTCTAAAAGGTTTTGGTTGGTTTTCTGTTATTTTATTTCATTTATTTATTTATTTTAAGTTAAAGATTTCTGCCTTTTGAAGGTAAATATAAAAAAATATAATGATGCACTATGAAGGAAAAACTATGAAACAATTTCATGACTGGAAAGCCCATATTACCCTAGGCGAATGTACAACTTGTACCACATAAAGTCAATGTCATGAAAAGGAACATAGAAAACTAAATTATGCACAGTAGAGGTTAAGATGATATCTTCACTGGAAGGTGTGGTTAGGATGATATCTTCACTTGAAGGCATTTGATACTCTCTATGCAAATGCATCACTTGACCACATGAAGTAAAAGCCTACCTTGAAATGGAGATTCAATATTTACGCCAGCTCTTCTTCTTCTACTCCTCATTGACGAGTACTTCTCACGTTGCCTACTTGACTCTTGCACAACTTTTTCACTTGATAGTTTATCTTTTCTTGCAGGGGGAGTTTTCATTTTATTGTTTTTTTGCTTCATGAGACCATCTGGAAGCTTCTTATCATCCCCAACAAGCTTCAGATATTCATTACCGAGAAGTGAGCCCTTTATCCTAGCAGATCGCACCCCCGTGATTGCGGCCAATTCTACTTCACTTGTTATGCAATCTTTCACAACTATCTCGTCTGTAGCAACCATGTCTCCACTTTGCTCCTTACCTATAAGCATTCACACATTTATGCCACTAAAAATTTTAATATTTCGACAATGATTATAACCTAAAGGTATTACAATATACCTGCAACCGAAGCTTCGGGGCTTTTGGCCCGTAATTTAGGTGGCCTTCCCCTCCTTTTTTTCAGATTGCTCTCTCCACCTTCTTCTAACCGATTAATTTCCTGCATAAAGAACAACCATCAAGTAAGTGATGTAGACAAAGCCCCGTACATCAATCAATAGAGAAGGGGGGGAGGGAAAAAAACAATAATGAACTTACAATAGATATATCCATAGAAGGTCAAATTAGTTATGCAGCTATGCCCCCTACCATCTAATCTATTACAAGTTACTACCTACGTCCCATATTAAATGTCCACCTTTCCATTTTTGGCTGTACCATAATAAATGTCCCATTTGAAAAGTAACAGTACTATTATTTGTAACATACTAATTTAAACTTCTTGCATTGAACTTTTAAAAAGTAAACCATCACATCCTGTTGACCCATTATGAACATTTGGTAATTTATTCACTACCAATACAATAAAAAAATATTAAAACCCACCCTCTTAAAAAATAAGATTCCTGAAAAGGGAAGTTTAATTTGGGACGGAGTGAGAATATGTTAAAAATAGTAACTTCCCTGAATTCATCAGTTTCTTTTGGTAGATTCATAGCACAAAGAGGAGCTACATTATTCTATTCTTCAAATACAGATTTTCTTTTCCATGAAAGTATCCTCATTATTGCTCACCTTGATCTTGTGTCTTGTTGAATCATTTAATTGCTCCTTTTGATCTCTCAAGAGCTTCAAAGATTCCTCACTGGGAAAGTGATGAGATTTTCTGCCTTGTAAGCCCCTCAATCCGTTACACTCTAATCCTATGATGACAGGAAGGTCAGTCTCTTTCGTTATACACTCTTTTTCGACAAATTCTTCAGACATAACTGACCCCGTATTGCCCTTATTACCTGCAAATCATGCTCTGTGAGTGTGCATAAGAAAACCAAAAGGGGAGGGAGAGGGAGAGAGAGAGAGAGAGAGAGAGAGAGAGAGAGGGAGAGAGAGAGAATGCAAATTGAAGTGTACATACCTCCTGCAGAAGATTGTGAGCTTTTAACTTGTGATTTTACTGATCTCTTCCTTTTCACAGGAGTGGGTGTGTGATTATCCAGTTCACCAACTTTTAGTTGTTTATTTTGCTGCATGGGTTCAAAACAGCACATCCGAGCATGAAAAATGGGTGTCTAAACAAGCATAATTTGAAAGGGAAGGGTAGGATTTGAGCATTCATTCATTTCACAAATGGAATATTTATCAGTCCATTTATACAAGTGGATGAAGGGCCAATGCCTTGTACAAAGTGGTTGCTATTAGACTTCTTCAAGCGGTGTTCAGGAATACTTTTGAGTTGATGAATAACGTGCACTTTCTTAATCAATCCTTGATGGAAATATGAACTGTTAAGGGCCAGTATATTTGATTGTTTCTATGTTGTAAGGCTCAGCTGACAATTTGCTGCCTTGGAGCTTGCACTATTAGTAACAGTAAGGTTGGTGATTATTGTAGTTTACTTCAGATCATAATGCCCTAGTCAATGGCAGTAACAAAAGGTGGAGCTAAGCGTCAATAAAAGGTGAGTAAATGAACTAGTACCTTCTGTTGACAGATGCCTATCGTTACTTATTTGTCTTGATTAAAGTTTGAATTTAAAGGATGATCACACATTTAATGAAAGATTCAAGAGGTCAAATTAAACTCACTTTCTTTCCCTGACAAAGGCTGTCACTTTTAGCAGAGGGCTGATCACCAACCACGGGTTCCTTTGAGATATTGATGCCAGTACCTGCAGGGCTTGGGTTGGCAAAACCACAAAGTGTTTCTTTACTTGGTGTTTGTATTGTCATCATATTTAATGGACATGCTGTAGGAGATGGGGCCTTTGCTGCATCTTCTTTTAACTTCTTCAAAGGCCTTGAATGAGAAGCAACACTATCAGGTGTCGTGTGCTTTGATTTCCTTCTTTGTGTGGCAATGCCATAAGAAGATGTTTTTTCATTGCAAGGAGTCGACTGTTTGGCCTTATTCTCCCTCAAGTCAAAGGAGCGAGGAGTTCTCTCTTCATAGTTATCCTTTGCAGCACATGAATTTAAAAGTTGAACAGCCATCTCAGTGTTGTTGGCATCATTGCAAGCATACTGCACATGTTCTTGATAGTCTGATGGAATTAAGACATCCTGAAACAAAAACCCATCATCTAAGCTACCCACTACCTGAAAATGAACTGGAATTCTGTTTGTTACAATCTTCAGTAACTCAAAAGCTATACATTCCCAAAACCTTCTACCGAGAATGAATAATTTTTTATTTATTTTTTTAAAATACCAACATAAATGTAGGTCATGAAACTCATGACCAAGTTGATAACCTATGCCTCTTGTCTGTAAACCATGTGCATGTCATAAATATCACACATGAAAACTCCTTGTACTTTACTACAAAACAGTATTTAATCATACATTTGAACAAAAAATTAGGTGTAGCACCATGAGAAAATTAGAGAGTAGACTTAGGTAGTTTGGACACATACATCGGAGACCTAGAGACACGCCGGTCGAACGAGGAAGGCTAGTTGTAATAGAAAGTAAGAGACGGAGAGGGCGGCCAAACCTAACATGGGACGAGGTTATTAAAAATGACTTTAAAAAGTTTAATATAGTAGGCGAAATGGCGTGTAAAAGAAAAGATTCGACAAAGAGAATTCATGTGGCTGACCCCATTCACATGGGATTAAGGCAAGGATGATGATGATTTGAATAAAAAAATTCACGACAAATACTAAATAATTATTAATATCATAGAACTAAAGAAAAGTTCTTTGTGGAACCAATATAAGCCCCAAAAAAAAACCCAAAATAACTACAATAACCCAAAAAAAAAAAAAAAAGCATGCAGCAATAAAAGGGTAAATTACACTGACCTCCCTGAGGTTTGCCATAATTACACGGACCTCCCCTGTGATTTTCAAAATTACTATGACCTCCCCTAGAAAGCAAACCTTGTAACGATCAGAGTTAGTCAAGGACGAAAATTGCTCTTCACGTACATTATATTAATAGAATACCAGGACTGCTCTTAGGATGAAAAGACTGTTTCAACCTTGTTATATGATATTCAGTTATAAAAATGCCCTCATCTCTTCAAATCCAACCCTTGTACAATCTCTACACCTATTTCAATTGAATCTCTCAATGTCTTGGTCAAACCAAGTTAACAACTAAAAGGAAGAAGAAACTGTTCATCTATGGATGATATTGGTGCTATTACGACAAACGCAGTGAACCTAAGAAACAAATCACGAAACATGACAATAAACACGCCACGCACAAAGATTTACGTGGTTCGGCAAAGCCTACGCCCATGGCGAAAATCCAGCGAAAGGTTTCACTATGCGAAAATCCAGCGAAAGGTTTCACTAGCTCTTGCTCACTCTCTTTTCTGCAATTTTCAGTGTCTCTCAGTGTCCCACTCCAAACCCTAAACGCCCTTATATATCGGGGTACAAGAGAGTACTAAACATGGTCCACAACCCGCAAGCAAAAAAGGGGTCAAAACTGGTTGCAATGTGACCCCGGAACCAAATTCGGACCACAACATCACAGGTTCTGTTTGATAAAAATGACAAATAAAGCACTGAAATAATGTATTAATCTGATAACTTGTTTGTTAAAGTCTTAGTTTTAAGCAATAAATTCATTAAGATTGTTTGTTAATACAAAAGCTGAAATATTAAAGTTAGTATATATTACATTTTAGCCCTCAATACTTGGTACACATAACATTTTTATATTTTTAATATAAAAGCATTCATAAAACAATCAATTTCACTCAAAGAAATATATCAATTTCACAATGAATATTAATGTCAAAATTGATCATAAAAATTTAATTAAAACTTAAATGATGAACATTATTCAAGCAATACTCACTAACATAATTTTAAAAGCAAATGTCTCAAAACTGTTAAATTAAACCAAGCATATAACGTTTTAAGCTCAAGAACTAAACAAATCATTTGCCATTTGGTCACACAAAATAACCATAAGAATACATTAAAATGATTTAATTTAATAAAGCTGAATATATATATACACACTTATATAAAAACAAAGGGTAAAGTTGACAATGTAACCTAGATATCTTGGAGTGTATCGAGGAGGAGTAATAAAATTTAATACACTTTTCTAGAATGTGAAATCTTGAGAAAATACCTAAAAGACTTGCAAGAATCGATTCTAAATTTTTCTAGATATTATTATGAGGTATCTAGATATGAAAAAATAATAAAGAATTGTAGATTTTTTAGAAAAAATTAAAGAAAATAAGGTGGAAGTGAGCTATAAATAGATTGCTCATAACTAACCTAGCAAGCTAAGAGCTAAGTGAGAGAGCATAACATTACACAGAAGCAATGTAACCATGAAGCCAAAATGAGCATTGGCAAAAATGGTCAACCCTCGAAGACGCTTATATGTAATTTTCTTGTTGACAGTAAAAATAGTCCATTCAAATGCAAGAACAAGGATAGAACAAACAGCTTCTATTGGAGAACAAAAAGTTAATTAAACTGCCTTATCATTGACAACCTGAACTCCCTTCTTCTACTTCTATAAGTTAAGGGCGTAGATCACTCCTTCAGCTACAATATATAAACTGATCAATTATGGTCTAATAGCAAGTATTTTATGCGAAAATGGCTGCTGTTGGATTTTTTTTTTTTTTTTTTTTTTTTTTTTCTTGATGAGAAATAGTAGAGAGAAGTCATGGAAGAGGTTGATGATTCTGATGGTAGGAGATCTCCAGGGTTTGAGACACGTGTAAGAGGCAGGGTATATTTGACAATAACAAAATGGTTTTAAAATCAAGATCGATGAGTGTGTTCTACATTCATTGTTAAATAAGTTACCTTTCGCTTAAAATTTTGAAGAGAGCCCAAAGCGAAAACAAGAAAACCCCAATTAGAAACTTCCACTGGTTTTAATTTAATCTTTACAATTATATCAGAGCTTTATTAGATTCTTGGTTCAATTCTGAACTTGTACTCAATTTAAATTATTTAACATATATTAATATATATGTATATACAAGAACAACCATCAGAGGAGAAGATTAGAAAACAATAATGATCACAACTTTTGATATACAAGTCTCTGTGTAACATTGATGGGTTGCTTGTCAAGCTCTAGATTAACTTCTGGTGACCAATTAATTTAGAGAATTAGACAGGTGCGACCACAACATTTAGTCCAGCAAATAGTTCCATTCAGGAACAAATTCTAAGGTGAAACCAGCAGCCTCCTCTTTATGATTGATCTCAAGTGCTTGGAATTTTTTTTTTAAAAATTTTTGCTTAGAATCTTCTTATTGTTGCCGGTGAATAAAATTACATGCAAGTGGTAAGAGAGGAACCTTTTGCTAAAGGATGTGATCTCTCTGTGTTCTCCAAAAACTTCCCCAATAAGAAGTTGATAAATCTTTCACTCACTACAACAGCTACTCTCTCTACTGTGAGATGGTGTTTATTGAGGGCATTTATGTAAAATAAGCGATTCCATTAGTATATTTGACAGTCCATCAAAGCCATAGGGGAAGTCCAAGTAGTTATGGCAAACTAAGGGGATGTAAGTGCAATTTACCCACAACAAAGACTTGGCAATGTGATGTATGAACTCAGTAAGTATTATAAACTGAAAACAATATACTTATTGTATGACCATTGACCACATCATCTATGGCAAACATTACAACATTAAAAAAAAGTACTCCCTCCGTCCCAAAATAAGTGTCATGCTTTCCTTTTTTGTCTGTCCCAAAATAAGTGTCATGCTTTCCTTTTTCAAACAATATATTTCACATCTTTCCATCTATGCGACACTTAAATTGGGACGGAGGGAGTAGTAGATAAGAGAAACTGGGGTTGAGATTTCACGGTTTATTTCCTAATTTCTAGCTAACCATTTTATACTGGCTATCATTTCAGTCTCATACTTAACCAGCCAGGGACAAAGCCATGACTTTGCTTCAAGGGAGACATATTGAAGACTATAAAATAATATTTTTTTCAACATATATTATTGACAATGCAGAGCATTGACATGCAAAATTGCAAAGACTCAATCAAAATCGGTAATACTTATACCAGGTTTTTTTTTAGGTAACCAGGATATTCGGGGCTTTGCCCCAACTAAATCCCTGGGACACCACGCAAAGCGCCCCCTCCACGCGGGTAGGGTTAGGGCTTTCACCCACGGGCGTGGCCCCAAGGAATTGTTTGCTCTTAAGGGGAGTTGAAACTTAGATCTGATACTTTATGAGGCACCAGACCCAAGTGACTAAACACTCGAGCCAACCCCACACTCACTAGGTTTGCTTGTGATATATTTCATTTTTCAGCCAAATTCCATATTTTAGGCCTTTATTTTTTTCTTTTTTCTTTTTTCTTTTTTTCTTTTTTTGCCTTTTTCAATGTTATAGGAACTCAAACAAATTTTTTTGATTTTGTTATTGATCAAATCAAACTCAGATTTAGCTACTTTTTGGTAGTTATCTGATTTTAGTAATTACATTCTTATTTTAATTTTTTCTTAATTTTTTGAGAGTGCCAAAAAGGATTGTTTTTAGAATTTCTTTCAATTTTAAAATTTCTTTAAATGTATTGCATATTATTTTTTTATATTTTTATATTTAAGAATATATTAGAAACCGTTCAAAAGGGGGAGCGCATCCCATAAACTATACAAGGGCAAGAGCCCCAATATCAACAATTCCCTCTATGGATTTACAATTTCTTCCCATCACCCAACAAAAAAGCGAGCTAATAATAAGAAATTTCAAGGCCGCAATGGAGGATTCCTCCCCATCAAGGCATCAATTGCCAATTGGCAATATTTCTGTTTTCTCTCCAACTTGAAATTGCCAATTGCTTAACATTAAACTCAATTTATCTTCTACTGCATCAATAATACTAAAAAATTCACTCACGAGAGTTATATATTTATATACCAAAACGATAAAGCATATGAGCAAAGTCTACACAGATAGAAAATAATATACAAAAATGTTTAAAAATTGAGAAAAATTAGATCAAATTCCTAAATCATAGAAACAAAATAAAAAAATTGATGTTACGGTAACAATGATATATATATACATATATATATATATAATCCAAGAACAAAGGTGCAATTCACAGAATAATGTATATGCATATAAACCAATGTTTACGGGCACACACATATACATATATATATATATAGAGAGAGAGAGAGAGATGGGTGGATATATATATATATATATATTTTGGGGCTTAGGCAAAGTAAAAAGTGGGCGTCAGACTAATAATTTTGTAAATCAGGAAGGGTATTTTGTAAATATTCACAAAATATATATATAGCGCTCAAAAGGGGAGCGAATCCCATGGAAACAAAAGGCCACAAAACGCCTCAAGCCTTCAAAGAGGCCAAAAAAATAACAATCTCCTCAACAGAACGATAATCTCTCCCTGAGACCCAACAAAAAAGTGTGTAAATAATGGAGAACTTAAACATAGACATAGGTTTCTCCTTACCATCGAAATATCTCCGATTTCTCTCAAGCCAAATGCACCACCAAATACAGAGAGGGGTAGCCCTCCAAGCATCCCGAATGAGAACCCCAACTGAGACACCTCTCCAAGCCTCAATCAACCCTCTAGAGGAACAGGGCATAACCCAGGGGACCCTAAATAACCCAATCATCAAATCCCAACAATCTCTGGCCATACTGCAATGCAACAAAAGGTGATCCACTGTCTCCTCATCACGCCGGCACAAGTAACAACGATTGATAACCATCTGATTCCTCCTCCTCAAATTATCCTGGGTTAAAATCCTACCCAAAACAGAAGTCCAAGCAAAGAATGTCACCTTAAGGGGAGCCTTAGAGTGCCAAATAGCCTTCCAAGGGAAAGGACCACCATCACCAACAATAAGGCATCTGAAAAAGGACCTCACCTCAAAACGACCCTGAGAGTGTGGACTCCAAAGCCAACAATCAGACTCCCCATGAGAAATCACCTGACGATACAGTAACTCCAAAAAACGAGTGACCTCCTCAATCTCCCAACCCTGAAAATGCCTCCTAAACCGAACATCCCAAGTTAGTCTTCCATTATCAAGATGATAACAGTCAACCACCAAGGCCTATTTATATATTCACAAAAAATATATAAATAAATATCTAAATAATAAGGGCAAAAAGAATTCCAGGTGGGCAACTGCCCCCCTTGAGCATATACTAAATCTGTCACCATAACCAGCCAAAGATAAGCAACAACCCCATAAACTATGTTTCATGGACTAGGGTATGCCGGATGAGGGTACGTGTCTAAGCATCAGACTTGACAGTTCTGGAACACAAGAATCAATGGACATATAGCAAAGTATTTTTTCAATTTCTAGGGTAAAATGATATTTTTATGTAACATAAATGTGTTTGACACAAGAACTTCACTCATTTTGAAGCAAAAATCAACAAAAGGAACATATGAGTATTGGTTATTGGGTGCATGTCCAACCAAAACTGTTGGACTTATATCCTAAACCCATCTCAAGGTGTCTGTGTTTGACACGGAACTTAATGTGTTTAAAGGAGTCATGTGAAGTAGTCTACGAAATAGTGAGGCTTCACAAAAATTGGAACATTTCCAAGGTACAGGGCAAGTTACCTGCACTCAGGTTCGTGTGCCGGTTGCGGGTATTTCTCCAAGCGTTAGGCATATTGAATTCTGAAACACAAGCACACAAGGACACTGCTAATTATTATTTTTTATTTTATAGCTTAAACTAATTTCATTATGTTACATAGAGTTTAGTATAGGCATTACACTTGTTTTGAGACAATAATATACTAAAATTGAACCATTTAATATGCTTTTTAGGTGCATGTCCAACCAAAAGTGTCGGATGCATATCCCATACAGATGTCCAAGTCTTGTGTGTCCGACAACGGTACTTGAACTACTTTTGAAAAAGTCCACCTAGACATGAAATCGACACCATTGGAGCATAAATATTATTTTTGCAACTTTATTACCAACAATAAAAACTAAAACATTAGCACACAAGATTCAAAGTGATAATTTAAGCCCCAAGGGGTTGGCTCAAGTGGGTAAGAACTTCGCCCTACTGCCTCATGAAGCATTAGGTCTAAGGTTCAAATCCTCTTGTGTGCAAACAAAAAGTGATAATTTACCACATAATGTTATTGAATGTCAAGGGGTTGGCTCAAGTGGGTAAGAACTTGGCCCTACTGCCTCATGAAGCATTAGGTCTAAGATTCAAATCCTCTTGGGTGCAAACAAAAAGTGATAATTTACCACATAATGTTATTGAATGTCGGGGTCCATACTTGTGGATTTTACTAGGCTTAGGTTGGGTTTAATAGTAAAAAATTCCTAGTTCCTAAATATGAAATACAAGTTATATTAGAGTTAGGATAGCAGCCTCTCTCTCTATATGTGTGTGTGTGTAACATATAATGCAGTCAATTTACAAGTTTCAGAAATGTTTTCCATTAATTATGCTCATTGTTGACTGTGTAATGCAATGCAAAACCTAGATATGATTCTAAAGACCTATGAGTGATTGCTACCATCTTCAACTTTTCTTCTCTTCTTTAATTTTTCCCCCACTTTAGAAGCTTTCCAAGCCATAAGCTTCCTTTTCTCAATCTTTCAGCACTTCCAAGACTTTGTAGCCATAACCTGATCTGTCTTAACCCCTCTGCCTACCCTTGTAATATCATTTTAACGAGACAAACTTTTTCCATCACGTTCAGTTCGAACTAGGCAATGAAAAGCTTGATAAACAATAGCCCGGGCTCTTGTTCTTTTACCTTCTTTGCGAAAGTTATATAGAAAAATAGTTGACTAGTTTGAAGTAAAATTAACCAACCAAAAAAAAAGACACAAAAGAAAAGAAAAGAAAAGCACCCAGCATTGAAATCATATTGGTAAAAAAAAAAAATGAGGAATGAGAATCCCTAAATCAGTTGCTAAAATAGTCGACTAGTTTGAAGTAGAGTCAATAGACTAAAAGAACCGCTCAACGTCAAAATGAGAAGCAAAAGTTGTCATGAATGTTTTGTCTAGGAATTTTAAGTGGGTCTTGATCTCTGTTTTATAATATTATTTGGGTTTTTTATCCTAATTTATGGAAAAGAATATTTTATGTCTACAACAATTCCTGAGATTCTATAAGGATTCCACCAAGAATCTAAAGCTCTTGGGATCTTTTATGGATCAGGATGGATTCAGTATTTTGGGATCATAAGCTCATAGGATTTTAAGATCTAGATCGGGATTCCAACAACCTTGAATATATAATAATTCCATATATAAAAGACAGTTACAATAATTTATTATCGTGTACTCGCCATGTCAGTGTTAGGGTGTCTATATCATGCAGTGTGCACAAATGCCTGTCCCATGTTGGCACTCATGCTGCATACGTCCAAAAGCCTACTTGTCAATGTTGTCATGTGTCCCATGTAATAAATAAACAAGGAGGGCTTGATACATCTATTTCTTCCACGATAAGAAAAATTATACAGGTAACAGATAAACATTACAACTCAAACAACAGGCAACATGACAATCATATCCAAGTCCATTAACTTTGAAGAACACAAAAATCAATAAAGCTTGAGAGGGAAAAAATTGGGAATGGGGATAGTAATGATTATCAAAACACATAATATTTGAACCCATAAAGAAGCACATAATAGGTCCACGAAAACGTGTGCATACCTGGGAAGCACTAACCCATTTGCCATCAATCCAATCCATGTGAGGTCTTAATTCTGAGTGCTTGAGTTCCCTTTCCTTGTTTGTATGCTTAAAAAAAACAATGTACTTACTATCAGCAAGTTCTTTGGTAATTACTCCACCCCACCAGCCAAAATCGTAGAATGCATCCACCTTTTCCAATAAAACAAAAATTTTATCCTTGAAATAAGGTGGGGAAGGTCTGATATGGAGGAAATCAACAGTGACTTTTAGAGGCCCAGCCTCAACATCAACCCCTAAACTCTGGTACTCTACCAAGAAAGAGTTGTTCCCAAAATCTTCAAGGACAATTGCTGGGAACCAAACATCACGATGCTCTTCTTTGTCAAAAGATACTTCTACCTTTTTCCCGATACCAAAAATCGATCCTTCTGTTTTCTTTAGAGAATTTATACCAAGGAAAAAAATTTATCAGAATCAAGGGAAACTTAAAAGTTGATAGATAGCATATTTGAAGATAAAATCAGCTCTATTAATGATTTAGTGAAGTAAAATAAATCTATAAAGTTTTTCAGAAGCTGAAGACAATAAATAAAATAAATGCATAAAATTATGAAACAAACATAACGCTAAAATGCAAAAACAAAACTATTTATTGTTAAAGGAGAGGAGAGAGAGAACAGATAACTTGGATCTAATACAACATCAACTTTATTTTGTTTTTCTATCATTCTTCTTCAGTGGTGGGGTATTCAGATGTAATAAGTCCTTGGTAGGTTCCATTTCGGGGTTTTTTTGTCTTAAAATTGATTATTAAATGATCATATAAGTAGCTTAGCCCTCCTGTAGTTTTCAGTATACTGCTCAAAATTTTAATAAGATCTACAACCCATTTGTTTAAATGAATGGATGGGTCAAAATAAAATAGACCTAATAAATAGATTGTTATTGTTGAAATTTACAATAGAAGGAAAAAAAAAAAAAATACAACGAAAGAAACATGAAAAAGGATTTAATCAGCTGAGTTTTAAATACAACTATGATTCCTGCCACCACTAAGAAGTGACCAACCAATCTAACAGTGAACAGAGTGATTAAGTGCACACAACATGATATAGAAAGTGAGAACCATCATATACTTTGTCAGTACTAGTAAATAGTTGAATACAATAAAGTAGATTGCCTAAAGAGAATGTCAAAATAAAAGACAAATGAGAGGAAAACAGACATGAAAAAGGGAATTGGATAGATGAATAATACACACCAATATACATAAGAAAGATTATACTAACTGCATCAGAGAAGCAATAGCATCCCTAATGCAAATATATATATATACACACACACACACACATATATATGGAGCAAAAACAGCTCATACATTAAGGCCCAGTATGGAGCATACATTAAAAACGGATCATACATTAAGGCCCAGTTTGGTTGGAAGGAAATAGAATGAAAAGAAAAGAAAGGTAATGAAGGGAAATGATTTAGTGTTTCGTATAAAAAATTGGAAGGAAAAGAAAGGGAATAGAAGGAATTGGACGGATACATTAAGGCATGATGAGTAAGTTTTGTTACCCTTCCAAAAGTGGGAGGAAAGGCTAGCATTTTTAAATGAAACTTTGTTAATACCAATTTTGCCCTTACTTTATATTAAAAACAAAAAACAAAATCAAAATTACAAATGAGTCCTAGGGCTTTTCTTCTATTTAACGCTTCAAATCATCACATAAGTGTTCTTTCTTTCTGCTCTAGTATTTACAATGCAATTGCTGCCTGGGTTTGACCACCTGATTCAATTCTAGCCAATGAAGAACACTTAGCTTCTATATATGTAACATCATTAGTTTCCCCAACAATCAAGCAAGCCAAGACTACATAAAAGAAATAATTTCATTGATCATGCCTCTATTTCCTCTTACTATGTTGCGGTTAATTTCAGCTCCACAGGTATCAGAACGTTTAGAATAAATGAGGCTACACAAATAAAGCAAGCCACATCATGTTATAGACTGCCTATCACACAATCGAAAAAATAAAAACATGCACTTGTAGTATCCGTTTCCATGAAATCTAAACACTCACTCCGCTTTTGTATTTTACAATGTCTCAGCCTAAAAATTTGTGTTTTAAATCTAAGAGGATATAGTGGTAAATTTATTAAAATTGTTTCTTTTCTTTTCTTTTCCCAAACATGTTTCAAGGTTTAAGAATATCATTTCTTTTCTTGTCCTTCATTAATCAATCAAACACAGTGACAATGATGATAATATAAGAAGATTACTAACAATTCATCAAAATTGACCCACAAAAATTTAGATAAAGATAATGATAGAAGACATATTAACAAGAAACTTTCTATTGTTCATGCAAATTAGAGAATCCAGAAGCTATGAGACCTACGCGTTAGCCAACTGCGATGGCACTAATACTAGACTCTTCCTTGACCCATGGTGTCAAAGGAAGACCCTGATTCAGAGATTCTCTCACAGGAATTATAGAGTTCTTCATCTCCCAAGGGATGGGATGCTTTGGCTTCTTCTTTGATTAGAAACGGAAATGGGTGCTTGCCTCAACCAACTTTCTCTCTTGTCCAGCAGTTAAAACAATTTTCTGCTTTCAGTTCAGCTGAAGCAAGGAAAGGATCATATTCTATGGAAGCATTGTCAATTCAAGCTTAAATCAGTTTGGGAGGGTTTGGGAGTGCACAAGCCTAGTGTCCCATGGTACCCCTTATGCTGGAATGGATGCAGCCTAGAGTTTCAACTCATAATTTCCATAACAATCTTCTGTCCTTTTTCAACTTGAAATGTAGAGGACTCTGTGTGGTTCCAATCTGTCATCTAAGGATGAGGACTCAACTGATCATCATTTGTTGGTTGGATGTTGCTTTGCTAGAGAAATCCGGTTATGGCATAGTGATGGCATAGTGACCTTTTGGATTGGAGGTTGCCTATGTTAGACAGCTTTCAGCATATGGCATTCTGTTTCTACACAAATTTCAGTTTGAACTCGGTGAGACAAGAATTTTATAGGAAACTTTTCTCGACTACCTGTTGCCAAGCTAATCTGGTGGGGGTGACTCAGTTGCTGGCTTATCTGCGGCAAGCCAATTGAGGTCTTTGTTGTTTGACCTGTTTGGCTCCATTTGCCTTGTTACTTTTCGTGTTCAGCAGCTAGCATGTTCTTAGTTTAGATCTTGTTTGATGACCGCTGTTCGTTTTTCTCTCTTTTTATTGTATCTGCAGAGCTATGTCTTTGCTTATTGAATTGTACTTTATTGTTTAATTTTATAAATAAATAAATAAAATCCCGCTTGCCCAGTAAAAAAAAAAATTTTGAACAAATTGAGAAAAATAAAAAATAGTAGTATTAAATTACAAAAATTAAAAAATTAAAAAATAATTCTTCCAATCAATAGTAAAAACGATGTTGTATAGTATGATTACAAAATAAAAGGCACAAAAAAACACCAAGAAACTTTAGAAAATGAAGGCCAGAGGCAAAGAGAATATACCAGCTTTTGGGGTCGAACCCATTTACCATCGACCCAATCGCGGTGGTAGCGCAACTCAGATAGGCCAAACTCGATCTCGTCCGGCGGATTCTGGAAAGTGACTACGAACCTGGAGTTGTGAAGAAGCCTAGTGATGACACCGGTCCACCAGCCATCGCGGTAAAAGGCGTCGACGATGTCGTTTAACTCGAAGGAGTGAACAACATCATCCTCTGGAGGAGGAGGCAAGGGTCTAACGAATTCCACATTTACTTGCTCCCTCAAGTGCTCAGATCCATCTTCCTCGGCCAACAGAGTTTGGTACTCAACATGGACCACCCTATTATTGCGGTTCTGGTTCTTTTTCTTAGAAGCAGATCTTTGAGGTGGCTCGAGGACGGTAGCGACGTACCACGCACCTTTGAACCCTTCTTCGTCGGAGCCCACTTCAACCAGCGAACCTTTGGCGAATAGCGAAACCTTCTGCTCCCCACCACCACCACCACCCATTTTGCTGCTCTTTCCCTTTTAGGGCATTCTCCCGATCGAAAGACCGAAAAAACCCTAGATTTTTGTTTCTTTTCTTTTTTCTTTTTCTTTTCCTTAATATTTTAACCATCATCAATGACGTATGGGTCGTGGGTTTTGGCGGGATGGGATAATAATCAGCATTTTAGGCTTCGACCCCATAAATTGTTCTATATTTCTTCTTTTAGAACCACTATGCATTTTGTAATAATATAAACAATTATTTTTTTTTTTTTTTCCCAAAATACAATTACATAACAGTACATTTTACCCCTTCTCATTTAGAAAACACTCCTAGTTTCATGACATGTTTCATTAATCATAATACACTTGGACCACTTTTACCAAAATAGAGAGATTGGGTAGACTTGGTTTAGGGATGGCAAGGGAGGCGGGTTTGGACGGGTGTACTCTCCCCCGCCCCGCAATCGTTTAAAAATCCCGTACTCGTCACAGCCCAAAACCACAAAAATAAGAGAACTTTCCACCCCATCTCCATAACCGTTTAAAATTTTTACTCTCGCGGGTACCCGCCCCGTCCCATTTAAAACCATAATTTAATTATTCTTGAAATTGATTTGCTCTTCTTTCTTTTTTTCCCTCATCTCCAATTCTTCACCATTGCAACTTTCTTTTTAATAAAATTCATTTGTTACTTTAATATTGTTATATAGGGTACTTAATATATAGTGGGAAATATATATACTAATGAAATAAAGGTACTTAAGTAATTTGCCTATCTAAACGATGCGGTGCAGGGCGACCTTCTCCCACCCCCGCACCAAACCCACGCGGGTTTTTATTATATCAAATCATCCCAGCCCAAATAAACAAAACGGTCCCCTAAAAATTAAAATCGCCAAAAACGGGACGGGGTGAGGTGGGTAACCGCGAGGGCAGGGTGGGGCAGGTAACCGCAGGGGCAGGTCAAATTATCATCCCTAACTTGGTTGATAAAGACATTTCGCAAGACAATTATAATTTTTACAGTCAAAATAAATAATTTATTTGACTTTTTTATCCTACCAAAAATGTGACTTTTTTTTGGTAATTTTTCTGAGTTGTCAAAAGAGGTAATTTATTTTATAGAGATAACTTTCAAAAAAAAAAAGTTTTTCTTTTTTTTTTAACTTATCAAAAGAGAATTCTTTTGGATCCTCCTTTTTTTTTCACATCGAATTTTCATGAGAAAGAAAGTAGACCCTTTACTCATTTGAGGATCCACAAATATCATTACATTTTCCAAAGTCTGTATGCTCGTCCTCTCTACATCTTCCAAAGTCTAAAATAGATGACTTTCTAATGAGATTTGATTGGGCTTTTTTTTTTTTTTACATAGCAAAAAACTTTAACAATAATCACATAAACTATACAAATGACTTCCCATATAACCCTATGTAGGCCTATACCCGTCGTCCTAATGGTTTTCGAACCGTTCATCATATTCATCCGATCTCCGGTCAATTTTTGATCATCATCGCTGCCGCCTTCTTCACTGGAGCTCATTCCACAACCCAGAACCACGGCAACGGCGGAGGGAGCCACGATCGGACCACCCAGAGACCACGGCGAAGGGAGCCACCATTAATTAAACTAAAACCACACAAACGACAATTTAGGGTCCAGTCAACATACATTACATGCTCGGCAAACCCAGCTGCAACACTTGGTATAAAGTACCATTCTTGGTTATGCTTGTGAAAAACTTAAAGAAATACTTCACATTTGCGATTTAAGAAAATGAGGGAAAGGAAAGTCATCATTCAATTTATATATATATATATATATATATATATATATATATATATATATATATATATATTATTAAAAATTAGTAAATAATCAATATGAAAGTAATTTATAAATGAAAGTAATTTACAACTGAAAGAAATAATAGCTTAACTGAAATATAAAAGTACAATACTGGAATGGAAATTACAATGAAAATTAACTTACAAAATTACTGATAGATATCGGCTGTGAACAACATACTGGTGCTGTGTCCGAAATGATAATACAAAAGAAATAAATATTACAATGAAAATTGTCTCGAAGCCTGAATTCTCTTTGAATGAAGCCTGATTCACCAATGGAATGGCATCGAAATTTATAGCCAAGCTTCTGAACTGTTGAAGAACTATTGGAGACATCTCTCTGAAATCTGTGGCGTAACTTTTGGCTTTAAAAGATGTTTCTGACTTTTTCTGATTGAGATGTTTTTTCTTTTTTTACTGTAAATGAATAGTGTTAACTGTTTTTGTCGTTTTATGCCGGCAGCGACGGCACTGTAGATGAATAGTATTTTTGTCGGGGCAACTGTAGAAATAGTGATTCTGCCGACGGTTACTATAGCAAATAATAATTCTGACCGAGTACTGTAGCAAATAGTGTTTCTGACAAAATAGTGATTTTGACCTGGATTTTTGACTTTGATCATGCAAATGGATCTTGGCTATCCTGATACAAAGAATCATTAAACAAATTCATTGGGTGACTTGATTCAGCAGCTGAGGATGCGTCATCAGCCTCTTCATCATCCTGAGAGAGGTCTTGGATGCGATCTAAGATTGATGCTGCCATTTCTTTGAGTTTTGCAATTTCTGACTTAAGAGGTCTTCTGGATCGGGTTGTATTCTCATAAGAAGCCTGTTCCGGATTACTTTGCTTAAGACTTTGTGTTGCAGTGACTGGAGTAACCTGTTTGGGAATATATTTTGGAAATTCATCTTCAACATAAAACCATGATCCTATCAATTTTGAAGTGTCCTACCATTTAACGTAATGGCGTCGAATGGCTGTATTGTTTTAGATATCATATTGCCATTTGAATATCCAGGGGATCTTATATTTGCAAGAGAATATGAGGAGAATTGGAAACTAGGAATTGTGTTTGTTAACTTTATAAACAATATGAAAATACTTTACTTGGTCTGCAAGGGTGAGGGGCAGGATTTCTGGGATGGCACCATGTTGTGACCACCATTTGAGAAACCAGGTTAGGATTGACTTTTGAACTTGTTATCAAAATTGATAAACCAAGAATAAGTAAATGACTCATTTTGGTGTAACAATATTGTTGACCAGGCTACCATGTAGTCATAATAACTAAAATGAATTTTATGACCAGGCAGAGGTTAGAGCAAAGAAGGATGAACACCCCATTATTCTATGGAAATGATTTTCTGGATGTACAGGGAGTGATAGATGACTTTGGTTGGATCATTGCGATCTGGAATTGACCTGATGGTTATGGATTCGATATGATAGAGAATGTCTCTGTCGAATCCAAGTGTCTTCTGAGGATGACTTGGGAAAAAATAAAGGTTACCAGGGAAATAAGATCGCGTCAAGGTGATGGGATCCTTTATGTGACTCAGGTGTAGTTCAATATTAAAAAGAGGAACAGAGAGTTTTTAAAAATAGCCACTGGATGACTTTTTTGGAATTGGTTCTAGGTTTTGACTGACTGGGGCTTTAACTTGGACCTGGAAGGAGTCTAGAGTATGATTAACAAGGGTAGACTTAAATGTGGATACTTGTGTAAGTGGCTGAAACCTGTTGACTACTGCAAGAGCAGATGACTGAGTTTGAGTTACTTGGGGTACTGGAGGACCATGGGGGGCACCTGGGCAAATATCAAATGGTTCAATTACTTGCTTCCCCTGGGGGGGTTGCGTCGGGGAGGTTGCCTGTTTGCCATTCTGCAGGAATTCTCTACTAAGAAAATCTTGAATAGAATTGTCACTTCCTTTGATATATTCTATATCAAAATCAAAGATACTTAAAATAGCTTGCCATCACGCAAAAATCTGTTTAGAAGCAATATTTTCAACGTCTTTTTCTAAAACATGTTTGGTGTAATACCCTGATAACTTAAAGGATTTATTAATTATGATTAATTACTTTTATTTGATTTTTAAATGATTTGTTTGATTTAATTAGAATGAATTGCTTTTATTTTATTTTTAAATGATTTGTTTTATTTAATTGAGTGTTATGGTTAATGGTCTTATTTTTATTAAATTATGTTTCGTGATTGAGTGTTGGTTTGCTTTATGAGAATATCATGATTGTGTTGTTTAAGTTGTTTATTTGACTACGTGTGATTTTTATGCTAGTGTGATTTTATTGTAAATTAATTATAATTATTAGACTTAATTGGATTATTTTATTTATTTAAGTTAATGGATTTGGGCTTAAGATGAGAGGAATCAATGGATATGGTCTTGGAACTTGGATAAAGCCTTATTGGGTTAATTAATAAAGGCCCATGGTTATGTGAGTATTTGAAGGATCGTTTTTGGATAATTATAAATATAAATATAAATATATATATATATATATATATATATATAGTTATATGAGATTAATTATGGAAGGTGTGTGTGTATATATATATATATATATATATATTATTTAAAGATAATTGTTATTATTTTTTTTGGTAGTCCTAGTTAGAATATGATTTGAATTTTAATGTGTATATATATACACATAAGTTTTAGGATTAAAAGTTTACACGTTAGAAAAATAAGGGAGGCAGAGAGAGAGAGAGGAAGAAGAAAGGCTGACAAGGAGGAGACCGGATCTGAGAAGGAGGACGTTTGGATTAGAAGAGATAATCAAAGCTTGAAGCGTCGGTTTCGTTTTGAAACCTTCAGGCGAGTTGTTCTCTGACTTTCCTCTTGAGACTCGTAAGGATTTCACCTTGAGTATCAATGTTTAGATTTAAATTTATTTGTTTAAAATCATGGTTAGATCATAATTAATTAAAAGTATAAATTATTATATTTGATTTTTGGATCATCGGATTTTAAATTGAATATATAGATGTGGTATATATTTTAAAAACAAGTTATATGCTTGATCTATGACCCAATAGAGTTAATTAAGGTTTATGAAATTAATGAGAATTTTCTGTAATTTTATAGAATATCCTATAATTGTTTTATATTTTTCTGAAATTATTTTATATTTTCTGATATTTTTTTTTAGAATTATTTTTGTTAAATT